CAGTTGTGGGCAGAATGAGAGATTATGAGGATCTTTGGTGGAAGAATCTAAATCAGTTAGATGGTTACACCTCGACCAGCAGTCACAGACTGGTTTAACTGAGCAGCTCCAACTGGGACTGTAGATCAGATCTGGAACAGGAATTATTGGGATTTCTTACAGGAACTAAAGATTATTGTGATGAGACTGCATCATCTTAAGTACAGATAGTAACTGTTGATTGTTCATCTTTTCAACAGTACTGCTGGATGGAAATCCTCCTGTAAGAACCCTCTATCCAAGACCTGGAGGAAGTATCACAGTTGAATGCTTCTTTACTGTCTCTGGAAGCAGGAAGTACTTCTGTAAGGACGACTGTAAAGAAAAATATATTCTTGTTGAAACAACTGGTGACAGAGGTCAGAAAGGCAGATACAGAATTAGATATTTAAGAGGATTTCCTACAGGAGGATTTGTGTATGTGAGCATCACACAGCTGACCCAGTCTGACTCAGGACAGTACAGGTGTGGTCTGGACAGACCTTTTTTACCAGACCCTTACCAGGAGTTTAGGATCATTGTCACAGATGGTGAGTTTCCATTTAAAGTGGATTGAAAAATAATGAAAATGTCTGTTTGTGTCTCTGGAGGTCTGAAGAAAGTTTTCACTGACAGCTGCTGATGTTTTAAATTCAATAAATTGAACACTGATAAATGCTCATTTAAAACCAACAGACACACAGGAGTATCTCATTTCTCTCAGCAGGATTTCTTTCTATCAGTATGTTGTTGTTTCTTTGTCGTCCACAGGTTCAACCACTTCCAAACCAAACTTGACTGTACCGGCTGTTTCAACATCAGTCCCATCAACCTTCACACCAACAACACAGCAGACAACAGCAACTACAGGTACATCCACACACTGTATTTGATAGATGGAAGTCTGACAATCACATCTAACTGTCCTTCCAGCACCTGGCAAACCTAACAACATATGTAGTTAGAGTTTATACAGAGACCATTTACTATCACACTGAAAACTTGTTCTTCCCCTCGAACCACTGCAGATATGTGGCTGTATGTGGCACTGACTCTGGGTGTCCTGGTTGTGCTATTATCACTGGCTGTGTTGGTGTACTGCAGGAATAAGTCTACTAAACCCAAAGGTGAGGCAACAGGAAACACACACAACTTCCCATTTCTCACAGAAAACAGACGCACCATTTAAAGCGTATTCACTCACACTAAGTTCCCCACCCCCAACCTCCATGTGGTTCTGGGTGAACAGAAGTGTCAGTAATCAGAAATTTAAACTCAGGAGGACTGAATGAAAAATGCTTGTTCTTGTGCCATCACAGCAGAGTTGGTCCAGACTCTGATCATCTAGCTAGTTAGTAGCAATGAGGTTAAAATGCTTTAAGAGGTCTCCCAAATACATGTTGGAGCTGCGGAGCTGGAAGCCCAACGTGATCAGATGATTGATCAGGTTGTGTTTTTTACATGGACAAGCGATGACTTACTACTGTAGCCGTACTGTAGCAGCTAACTAGTTTTACATCAGACACACTGTACGTTTGGTTACAGCTTGAAATGATCCCAAACTTTGGAGACTTTCTGTCATTTTCTCTGGCCTGTCTCTTGTCTTCAAGCCTTGCTATTATCTTTCTTTCTTTCTTTCTTTCTTTCTTTCTTTCTTTCTTTCTTTCTTTCTCTCTTTCTCTCTCTCTTTCTTTCCTCTATGTTATTAAGACTAAATACACTCAGTATAGACCATGTCTGTCTCCTCTGGTTCTCTTCCTGAGGTTTATTCCATTTTTTTGGAGGGGGGGGGGCTTGATGGTCTAAGGACAGAAGGTGTTGAATGTTGTATAGATTATAAAGCACCTTGAGGCAAATTGTAAAAAATGTAATTTGACTTGACTTGACTTGACTTTACCTGCTACACAACCTGTTCAGCTCTACATGTTGGCTTTAATACATTTCATTTTTATGGGCAAACAGAATCTGATTATGTTTCCATTTGACTAAGCCTGATCAGTGGATTATAAACGCAATGTTATGTATTTCAGATCCTCCTGTGGAAACAGAATGCACCGTCACAGAAGTGAGTTTTACTCAACGTCAGTCTGTGACCTATAGTCCCCCCGCCAATTACACAACTCATTTTTCAGGGGGAGCTCATGTTTTATTTGTCTGTACTTCACATCCTGGTCAACTTTACACATCCAAGCATAATCAGTGTTTGTGAAACTAGCTGACATTAATACAAACCATCCCCCTCTTCTCCTGTAGACCCACCGGGTGTACGAGGATATCAGAGAGGACAGACGGAGCAGATCTCCTCCTGTGGAAATATCTCCAATTTACACCAACGCCAAATATACCAAAACAAATGGAGCTGAAACCAACAATGAGTACAGCTGTGCCACAGTAAGCTATAGGATTTTAGCTTTAGGTTGCATGATAAGGTGATTTTTAATGTCTTTCACAAGCTGCCTCTCACAGACCCAACTGAGAGTGTTACTGGGAAAAACTCTCTAGCTGCCTTTGTTTCATATGAACGTTTGTTAAATTACTCTGTTTTGGCCTTTTCACTGATTCATTAAGATCATATCTACAGTTGACTCAAATACATAAAAACCTCAAACATGACAAACAACCTTACTGAAGGTTTTTGGTTGTCAAGATGAAGACATGAATATACTGCGATGCTGCACTGTAACACACACTGACAGTTGGTGGTTGTAACCTGCCAAGAAATTTAGCAATGTGACCACAAAGGCTTTTATTTAATGAATGAATACAGACAGAATAATCGGATGATCCCATAATGTATTTGTTAAATACAATCCAGAAACATTTCACATTAGTAATAACATTAAGACCCATGGTGAGACTCTTGTATGTTGCGGCAGTCGCTAACAAAACATTGTTCAATTTACATGTGATGTTTTAATAGTCATGGTTTTTATTCCAAGCTTAATGTAAAATTATAGTATTCTGAAAATGATAGGGTTTAGTACATTGAATCATTTTAGTGGTATATGTGCACATATTATTGCTAAATGTGGCTATTGGATACATTTAGCTAAACTGTAAAAGCCAGAAGTGATACTAAATGAAGATACTCTTACCGCGGAGCTGAACCAAATGATCTGGATCACAAACAACAGCCGGATTTCCATCACTCATTTTTATTCCACTTATAAAAACGCAGAAAATGTTGGCAAAACGACAGATTCTGTCGTGAGCAGCGAGCGACATGTCACCGTAACCCTACGCAGTCACATAGGATGGACATTAGATGTAAGAAACAGTCCCTGTACACGCTGACCTTTCCTTGTTTTCTTTTTCCAGATTGAAGACGACTCGAGTAACCTCATCTACTCTGAGTTGAATTTTTCCAACCGGACCGTTGACTCACCCAGCAGCGCCCTGCGTGGTGACAGTGATAATGTCGTGTACTCTGTGCCTCGGGTACAAGCGAGCTCTGATAGCAGCCGTCCTGGAGATGATCCGCCTGTGTACTCGACTGTTCCTTAGCTCCAACGCTGCCGCCAACAGACAGCTGGTCTGAGTTCACTGTGTAAATGAATCTGTGATATGATGTTGTAGTTCTGTCCTCAGTGACATAAATACAGATGTGCTGCCTCATCAGTTTGCTTCAGGCTAGAGCTGCTTTAACTGAATCTATCTCATTTTAAGTTAATTTCATTATACATTATTAAAGTAGTATCTCTGTATCACAGTAAGTTAGTTTGGTTACGGGCAACACAAGTAATGTTTTAGTTAGTATTATTATGAGAGTGTTGGTTTGTTTAAGATCAATTTTTGGTAAAGTTAGCAGGTTAGCATTGTTAGCATTCATTAGGGATGACTATTCTGGTTAAAGGTTCAGTTTTCTTTTATTTAAATTCATACATAAATAGAAACAAATAAATAAATATGAAACATAATTTCCTGTGTGTCGGTAAACAGGTGTGATGTCTCCATCCAAGGACTTGTAACATAACGCTGTCATAACCTGGGAAAAATCCTGCTTGTCCAACCTTAACTTACGTAAGTTTCAAAGATAACAGAAGCTAAACTACTAAACTCATGGCTGTGTCCAATCTCAGACCTTGTATCCTTGGGAATCCTAACTGGACCTCCAATGTACACGAGACTGCCTGTAATGGCTTGGTGTAATGGACAATACTAAGTTAGCAATGTGAAGTCAGCAGCTTTGTTTACACAGATCAAGGAAATGTATGCATTTAAACCTGAACACACGCCGTTATGTCAAGCATGTGATCTAAAATGGATTGTGGTATTATTGCGATCACCATGCTAATGTCCGCGTTCATGGTAAGTGTCATTATGTGTTAGCGTCGAGCTAACAGATTATGCAGCATTTATGTATCTTTAAAATCTGCCGTTCAGGTAGACGTGTTCTTGTCCTCTTCCCTGTTGTGTTTGGGTTCAGTCTTTGTTGTGTGGCCTGAGGCACAAATTCAATTTGTCTTCACTGTTCAGCAGTTTCTTCTTCTTTTCTGCTGGATTTTGCAACAGCTGCTTACAGGGAAGAGTGTCGACATGTCCTCGAAAATGTATTTCTAAACAACCCGCAACTTTTTTTTGTTTTATTTTTGACTTCGACAAAGTCAGAAGTTTCATGTAAATTAACTTCTAATTCTAATTTATAATTTTTAATCCATTATCAAATCATTCAAATTAGAGTTGCTCTGTATTATCTATTATTATTAGTTGCTCTGTATGGCAAACATTGTTTGACCAGAAAATGTTTCCCTGTTAGATAGGAAAATGTAAGAATATAAACAGATATATCAATAATAATAATAATATTAATAATAACAATAGAATAAATAAGGAAGAATGCATAACATCTGTTGTGGCTCACTTAAGGGAAGTAAGTGTCCTTGCTTTTTACAGTAAGAAAGAGGAACCAGATATCTGATGTAATCGCGAGCTACAAGCTTTTGTTGTTTTATGAAGAAAGTCCTCAGACTGAATGTTGAAACATGGACAGTGAGAGATTTGGACATAAAGCAGCACACACTGGAATAAGATTCATGTGCCAAAACAGGTTAAAAAAGTCACCTCAGAAATAACTGGACTGCAGCTGATTTCCCTGAGCACAGGAAGACTGTCAGATGGAATAATGTGCATTAGCACAAGAAGTAGAGTAACATTTAATTGCCTCATATTTAGTATTTTTCATATTCTGATATGAGCATTTTCAGGTTGAATAAATACAGTTTTGAGATGTTTATTTTACATTTTATGAAATTATACAAAGATACTGTAGAATTTGTGTGTTTCTGTGTTTTATATCATCACTTTTTATTATTATCTATCTTTGGAAAACACATTGAGGGAGGACCATCAGTCACTATCGTGCCAAGGTATAATCATAATATTAAAAACATAGAAACATAAAATAAGAGCACACGCACACAGAGGAACATTTTGAAAATCAGGTAAAAAGTGACAAGTTAGATAAGTAGTGTCTACTCCCTCAGGCACCTCTCTAACACAATATTGTATGGCAGACTACATGACCACAGATTTATAGTGTTCACTATAAACGTTTGGTGCAACCTGGGATTGGAGGGTAATGTGACTGAGGGTCACTGGGGTGCTCCCATTGAATCATTACCCTGATAAACAAATTGAAAAAAAAGCATTCTGATCGCAGTTTAATTTGACCCTTTTTAGATATACAGCGACCCCTGGTGGTTGTAGTGTTGGAGTATAAGGGTCCAGAATGATGCTTCTATTCATTTTATTTCTCATTGTCAGACCTTCTACTAGAGATCCTTTTAAAAACAACTTCCATTTACGCTTAATAATTCATTTACTAACCCTTTAATAAACATTCTACTCAAAGGATACACATTTGTTCTGCAAGGAGAATAATACAACAGGCCCATTGTTTGCCTACTATGCAAAGAGGCCGTATGATACTGAAGAAGTTTGTCTATGTGCAACAAGAAGCTACCGTATTTAAACAGCTTCAAGTCTGAAGCTTAGAATAAACAAAGAGGAAACAAAAATGTACATATTACTTATGCTCATCATGGCTGCGTGAGGCAACTGTTTTACATCTTCTATATATGTTTACAGTCCACCTTTACCTTTTCAACCAACTGCATTGAAATATTTTGTGGTAATACTGCTGCTCTTACTATCTTTACTTTTACACTTACATATTGTTCCTTTAAGTAAAGTATTTACTACATTAAAAAATATTATATGTCAGCAGACTTCAGGGAAACACGTTAAATTGAAATACGGTCTTCTCTGACAGTCTGTGTGTATTCTCATTTTAAATTTACATGCCAGTGCAGTACTTCTGTCCTGTAATCAGATGTTGTTTAGTGCAGGGTGGTGTGTCGCTGTGTGACCATGATTATTTTCACTAAAAGTAACCATTGTGAAACAATCAGGAAATAACATTTTATATCTCTACATTATGCAACGATGATACTAATCGTTAGCATAGTTGCAGCCCTCAGAATGTCTCAAACAGATATAGGTAATAATTATTGCTCACCTTTGCCAATTTTTAGGAACTTCCTTTAAGATATTGAAGATGAAATAAAATTATATTAGATGCTTTATATTCCAGTGTGTAACATTTAGGAGGATCTATTGTCAGAAATGGAATATAATATTTATAACTAATTCTTAGTGTAAAATCACCTGAATAACCTGAGTGTTTTTGTTAAACTGTGTAGTTTTATGAGTATATCCTAATTTTAAAATGTATGACATTGTTACTAATTGTATTGCAGTATTGGCATTCTGACCCCATTTTCTCTGTCAGGTTACCCCAATAATTACTGTCCCCTGTAATCATTAAACACTTCAATCAATAAATATAAACAACCTTGGGGGTGAGAGAAGGGCAGACAATATGTGACATCAATAAACATTCATGTTTTTGCATTCATTTGAATGGCCAGGATCATTTAAATTTAAGAGTTATTAACAATAGTTTTCACATTTTTACACTGCAACAGAAAACTTGAACATCACACTGTATGTGGAAGCAGCCACAGCAACTACACAGTTAATAACACTGAACTAATGCAGAACAACTGCAAGGACAGTGAGGACACAGACACTTCATAAAGGAGAAGAGCACACAAGTTAGTGTTGCTACATGCAGAGCCCTGCACGTCCAGAAATGGCACTAGAGGGATACCTGCAGCAAATCAAAGAATCTTCTCTAAGTCAGCAATCAGAAGCTGTTTGTATCAAGTATGCATCAGTTCAATAAGAATTCATGTGCAAAATAACACAGATACTGAGCAGATACAGAAAAGCAACCAACTAAAACTAAACATTTTAAACATCAGAGCACCACAGACATTACTCACAGGAGAGGAGTGAGATCAGGAGAGAGAGGGAGAGACTTCCTGGTGAAGTTTCACAAACAAATGCAAATTCTCTGTCAGTGACAGGACAGTATTCATCAAAAGCTGCTAGTCAGGTTCATTCCCTACGTCCAGATCTGCAAAACTAAATCTATTTCTGACTGGCTGTTTTTTGTGTATGCAAAAACTGAACTTGGTACTACAGAAAGGTGAATGAAAACCCCTCAGTAAGACGATAGAATAGCTTCTCATGGTGCAGTGTACGTTATTGCATACCTACTGTACATATAAACAGCAATGAACAGCTTGTACACATGGGTTTCCTCCCACAGTCACACACAAACAAACACTTTTCTGCTTTAAGCTCCTGTTTAAATTCGACATAAATATTCCATGACGTCATGCCTCTGAGCTCACACTGCCACTCTTTTAGCCTCTGATCATCGGGTAGTTTTAACCAGTTCATGTTGTTGAGCCAGAGACCTGCAGTACCTGCTTAACTTGCAGGACCCACGGCGACGCATCTCCACCTGTGTAGTACAGGTGGAGATCCGTTGCCATGGAAAAGTAGTTTATTTATGAAGCACGTTTCATACACAAAGGTGCTGTAAAGTGTAGTTAAAAACAAGACAGCTCAAAGTTAGAACAACACAATTCAAATTGAAATACAACAGAATTGCCGATTCAAAAGCACAATAATATTAATAGAGCGTTTTCAGTCTGGATTTTAGAACTGTAATGGTTGTGATGTTCCTAAGACCATCAGGTACCACTAGCAGTCCACTCCGCAGAGACCTCAGAGGTCTTGCAGGGTCATACAACTCAAGCACATTAGCTATGTATTCCATGTAAAGATTTATTATTAAGTGATAAAACTTAGTGGCAACCAATGGAGATTTAAGAACTGTGTTGATGAACAAACACAGCATTATACAGTATATTCAAATTTGATAGGCAAATAATTGTTGCCTTGCACAAATTTGCATTAAGTCAAAAAATACTGAAGCACTTTAAGCTTGATACACACACATACCTTTAGAATAAACAGAGAGCCAACAGAGATGGACATAGTTCTTCTGCTCATTATCACTGCATCAGGCAAGTATCTTATTTGTTTAAATATATTTATATTATTTTATTACTCTACATTACCGTATCTACAAAGCGGTCATCATACTGTAAACACTATTATGATGAACGACAGTTACTGTATATAATACTTAACCAATGATTGAACATCATTGTGTTTCTCAGTATTTCTTGTTGCTGAACTGACTTTTAAAACCAAACACAAAGCCCTTGGAGGGTAAATGTACGCAGACTCTGTGTTTTGCCACTTACACGCCTGCACTCATTTAGTCATAACAGTTATAATTTGAACTTCTATAAAATGTGTTGCCTCAGTTGTTCACTGGTTTGTGAATTGCCAATTACTCACTATTCAATGAAAACCTGTTGGGCTAATTTTAATCTTTGTGAACTGGTTGACCTCAGTTGTTCCTCTTTATAGAGTGCTCCGCTAAAGCTCTTGGTTTCCCCCTTTTTCACCTTCTTGTGTTTTTTTCTCCCCTTCATCTGGGACCTTTCAACAACACTATGCACTTTGTTACCTTCTTTTATTTATTTTTTTTGCACCCTTAGCGACATCTCGGTTACAACTTTAGAGACCTTGTGGTTGTCCTTTTTTTGAACTTCCTTGCACAGGGTGAGGCTTTGTGGTCACACTGATGCTGCTCTCAGTCAACCATTTTGGAGTTATGTGAGCATTACTATGTCAGCCATTTTACCTTGATCTGAAGAGAGCCGGTCACAACCACAACAGAACTCATTTTATTTTCTTCAAGCAATACTCTTTAAATCATAATGACATGTGATAGGTAACAGCATGGATAATGATTCACAGAGCAATGAAATAAATGAGTAAAAACAATAAATGCATAACAAGTAGAAATGAAATAAGGATAATAAAGGATTTATAAGAAGTAACCAGGCAAGCTGCTCTTGACCTCCTTTTATCAGCCAGAACATTAACACCATCGTGGTAATGTTCCTGTCGGTACTTTCTTATGGAGGAATCCTCCTTGTGTTTTTTTTTTTTTTCTATCATTGTGAGTGTGAACAACAATTGCATACAATTCTCTTCCTTCAACACCCTCTCTTGCATATAAAGGTGCCTTTATCAGTAACTGGTGACCACTGCCTAACATCCAACTACCCCTGCAGCAGCCAGAGGGTCACTACGACTTGCTACTGTATTAATGTAAACGGTAAGCTAGTTAAGTCCAGTGGTTTGGGCCCCTCAAAAAGGTGTCCAGGTGAATCTGAGGGTTCGTAAGATGATTCGTGGCAGAGGAAAGAAGAAAAAACCAACATTCTGTTTTCAGTATTTGGATGTTTCACTAATCTCTGATAAATCTGTGGGACGTTTCAAAGAGAAATGTTTTGTTGATGGAACTGATAACAACTGTGTAATAGTGCAGTATAAAGTACAATATTTCAGTGTGAAATGTAGTTTAGTGGAACTATAAAGATTTTTCTATAAAGACAATGACACACCTGAACATACTGAATTGTAATGTTATATAAGTCATTTTTATCCCGAATCTAATCCCTACAGGGCTGAGTGGTACCTCGTCACATGGTGGACGTCAGTACCATTTTATCTATGACCAGAAGACCATGACTGAAGCCCAGAGTTACTGCAGAGAACAATACACAGACCTGGCCACTATAGACAACATGGAGGACGTGACTACCCTGAACAACATGGCTGATTTAAGCCAAATGGTCTACTTTAAAGACAGAACGGTGAGTTGACTTTTCACAACGATTTTGTCTTTCTTTCATATTAAAACATTTACAAAAGAGAATCTGCTGACTTTTCCTTGACAAAGCAGACTTGGTAGATTATTGGTTCTTCTGATATGGCTATCTTAATGACAAGTAGATGTTTTTAAAGCATACATATTCTTGATTTCAGCCATTTTTATTAATTGTAGTCGTACATAGGTACGGTGACCCTGAGAGTTCAACCCACTGCAACTTAAAGGTTGTATATGTAACTTTGATTTAACCATTGTTAATGGTGACACCAGTGGCCGTTAAGTGAACTTCAGTTAGTGTCTGGTTGCTTGGTGCATGGTTTGTAGGGGCCAGTTAGCATCATCCTGTTCATTGGCCAAAAGTGACATACAATAGACTGAACACTGGAAAAGAAATTACAATCATATTTAACATCTGCCATGTGCCTATATTTTATTTGGGCCAGTGACTCATTGCTTTTAATAAATACTATTAATTAGCTTTCCATTTACAAATCACCCCATCAGCCAACACCATGAAGCAACCAATGCCAGCCTGCCAACCCCAGCTTAGCTTAGCTACAATTACCTAGCTGGATGCCCCTGCTCGCATTGCTCTAGGCGAATGGTTAGCTTTGTACTGTTACATCATTTATTGTTGGCTAAAAAGAATTAGTTAGTATCATGGATGCTGTAAGCTGGTGAAGAAAGCAGGCAAGCTAAGATCAGCCAGCCAGCTGCAACCCATCCAAGCACAGTGAACAGTGTAATCTGGTGCCGGCCACCCCACAACACCAGTCGACAAAGTAACCTGAAAACCGCGAGCCAGCCAGGTCAGCCCTGGGAGTCTGGTGGAACCTAGCTGACACTACTTAACTAGCAATTTGTCCGCATTAGCAAGCAAGTTAACGTTAGTCAGCTAAAGCACAATATATTTAGCAGACTTTGCGGTAATGTTAGCTTTGACTTCTGACTTTGTGTGAGAGGCTTCTCCCAGCAGAACCAATGGGTGGAGTTAAACCTGATCCAGCTCATCCTCTAGTTCCAGCCCCACCCAAAGACTGACAAAGGTTTGACAACAGTGAAAACAGTACTGGTTGTTGTTGGGTGGGGCAATACAAAATAATTAATACATAAAAATAATATGTAAAATGTGATTTCAGTAACTTGTTGTGTCTCGTCAAGTGTGTTAATTTTAGTCATGTTCATGTTTAGTGTTTCATGTTTAGTCCTTCCTGTTTTATTTTGTACTCACCTTTTCCCTCACAATTCAGACCCTGACTTCCTCCTTGTGTGATTTTCCCGCCTTTGTAATTGTCTGCCCCGCCCTGAATGTTTTCACCTGTTTTCACTTACACATGGTATAAATAGTTCTCGTCTCCCTTTGTCTTTGTCAGTTCATCTTGTTCAGATGGTAAAGAGTATTGTCAAGTGTTTCAGCCCAGCGTTCAGGTTAGTTCATGTTTCGATTGAAGTTTTTGTTGCTTTGTTTTGCACTTTGTTACCCTCCTTCAGAGCGCCTTTGGTTTGATAAATAAATATCATTTTTTTCTACATCTTCGTCTGTCCCAGAGTCGTGCATTTGAGTCCACTAACATTGTGTCAGAGGTCGTGACATAACTTCACATATGTACTATGTTGGTCGATATTGAAAATAATGAAAATGAGTAAACCGATTGTATGATTTAGATATGATTGCAGATATTTACAATTCAAATAAAAGTACATAATATCTGAATGATGCAATCAGAAAGTTAAAACTAAACATTGCTCATTTCCACTAACTGAATTGATCTGTTTTGTACTCTGTGTGATTTGCAGTGTTTATGGCTTTTTATTTGTCTAAATGCTGTGCATGTGTTTTCCTAAATTGGTGAAGATATTTTCTTTACTTGTATTTCTTTCGTGTATTTACATATGTTTCCTTTAGTTACTGTGCATTGAGCCCTCAGGGCACTGTACAAAAGTTATCGGTAAAACTACTGGTAGAGGATCAGATTCATATGTAAAGATTTTGTTGAGCAGCTTTAAGTTTAGCCAGGTCATTTCAAGGCTAATAAATGTTTTATATGAGAATTGAAGTTATTCTGTTATGCTGTTGCTTTCAGGCAGCCTGGATTGGGCTGTATGACGCCAGGAACAGCTGGAGGTGGTCACTGGCAGATCAAATGTTCTATGAAGACGGGGAGGCAGAGTTCAGGAACTGGGAGGTTGGGCAACCAGACAACTACAAAAGTGCAGAACATTGTGTTGCCATATATGATAATGGACGTTGGCGCGATGCCAGCTGCACATACACCACACAATCAGTCTGCTTTGATGTCAGCGGTGAGCATCCTTACTACAGATCATTTATAACACTAATTCCAATACATATTCATTAAAAAAGACAGGTGAGTGAAGTTTTTTTCCTTTGCTCTGGTTCCTTTGAGTTTGTGTTCAGACACGGTGGCTGTGGGTGTTCATATTAACTACACACTTTTTCTTCTACAGAGAATGATGAACAATATTGTTTATGTGCAAATATCACCATCATAATTTAATTTAAATCCTCAGAAAAAGCATTGGAGGAGAACCCTTGATTACAATAGTGCCGAGGTACAAACATAAAATAATTAGGGTAGCAATAAAGACGAATACATGGCTAAAATAAGGTAAAAATATGCAAAGTTAAATGGTAGAGGTGCTGGAATTTACAAAGAGTGTGTATGTATGTGTGTATATATATATATATACTGTACACTGTATATTTATTTCATTATTTCCAGGACCCAATGTGACATTTGTCCTCAACAACAATCTCATGTCATGGACCCAGGCCCAGAGCTACTGCAGAGAACACCACACAGACCTGGCCAGTGTGAGGAACATGGCAGAGAACCAGAAGGTGAAGGAGCTGGTAGCTTTAGGACAAATCGTCTGGATCGGACTTTACAGGGACTCCTGGAAGTGGTCAGATGGAAGTAACTCCTCATTTAGGTACTGGCAAACAGGGGAACCTAATAACAATGGAGGGAAGGAGAGTTGTACGGCGACAGTCTTAACCCACTCTGGAAAATGGGAGGACTGGTCCTGTGACGCGAGGACAGAATTCATTTGCTACAGTCAACGTGAGTGGTAACCCCTAATTAAAATAGTATTTCTATTTGGATTAAGATTGAATTTAACATGTCCCAAATGTGAGGAAATTTGGTAAAACCTGTCCCGAGGTCACCAGCTACAATAAATTACCATCCTCTTTGATATGGGATGTTGTGATGGAGCCAAGTCTGTAAAGATGAAAGCACAACAGTCTCTGATTTCCTGCTGCTGGGTTAGCCTGACTCATTTAACTTTCCTGCTGGAAAGGCGGAGCATAAGTGGTGGAGGAGCTGTAGGTCCAAGCTGGGTTACCTTAACTCTTATCCCGCTTGAGTTCCCAGGGCGGTCACATCACTTGCCTGGTGTTTGGTTCAGCTGGTCTGGCTGGGTGGTTGGAAGATCATCTCAAGATCCACTACACTTAATCCAATCCCTGCGCTTCCTTTTCCAATGTTGAAGTGTTTTCCTGTCATAGGTTGTATGTGCTTTGCTAATAAAGAAAAAATATATACATAGCAAAGTTTGAGGTAGCTACTGGCTACCTCATGTATCTATATGTCTATAACAAACTATATATTGATTTATTTGACTTTTAATTCATTTGTATTTCAATATTTCTATATACAGTATGTTCCCTGTGTGTAGCATGAAGGAGAAACAACTTACATTTCATTGTGCGAGCCTGTGTTGTAAAATGACAATTAACCTTGATACCTTGAAAGTTATAGCATGCAGTGGGGGTCAACTGCACAAGATTTGTTTCTTTAATGCTGAAAATATGCAACAGTACTGCCACATATCGCCTGTCAGTCTCTTTAAAGATGAAATTCTGAGGAATGCCAGTATTACATTAACAGATGTGTTTCGCCCACAGCTTTGACAAAGCAAGTGATAAAACTGAGTCTGCAGAAAAGTAACCCCTCTCTGGATCTCAGTGACCCTGCTGTGATGGAAGGAATCTTGAAGCAGGTAAATCCTGTTTGACCTTTCAACTTTCAACTTTTATGCAAGAACAGAACAACCAAATGACTCCAAAAAGCAAATGAAATTAAAATACTGTACGGATCCCTAGAGGTGAAATTCACGTTACAGCAATACAAGAAACAGCCCGAAGAGGTCAGAAACAGAAACAAATTTATATGAAATAGCAAATACAGCAGAAGTAGGTGGGTCGTCCACTAATAAGAAAGTTGGTGGTTTGATCTGAGCTTCACAGCGGCTCTTTAGGAACCTCTGGGTGACGTCACAGATGGACAGACATCCACTCTTAATTACAGTATATGGTAAAAACACATTATGATGTTCAATGTGTTATTTCAACACTCAGCAGAAACTTGACTATCTGCCAAATACGATCTACAAAGCCAGATTACAAGCATTACAATAGAAGAAATAGGGAGAAGAAAGTTCAAATGTACAACAGGTCAACAGGTTGAAGGAACATATGACTAACAATGCAGAATGTAATATCTCTGTGTGAGTGATAATGTTGAGGAGTTCTGTGTCTCAGATCAAACAGAGGCTGAAGGACCAGGGGGTGAATGAAGACATCAAACTGAGCTGGAGGAAGCAGTCAGATGGAAAGATCTTCCACAAGGACGAGAAGGAGACAGAGAAGAAGGACACCTGTACATAAAAGGAGGAGCTTTATGTAATGGGTCAGAATATACCTGCACCAGTGCCACAACAGCTGCAGTCCAAATAGAATTGCTGTATTAATTATTTAGGATCGAAATCCAGGCTTCACGATAGGTTCACACTTGATTATGACTCAGGGTCTTAATACCCCCCTTAGAGCTCATAAAGTAATAAAAACATAACTATGAATATCATACTTCTGCCAACAGACCCACCTAAATGTTACACACTGGACCTTTAAGTTACGTCATGTCACATAACACAACTTGCATAATTTTTGTCACAAGGTTTAACCCAAACAGTAGTATTTTTGCTGACTTCCATTGTTTTCACAATGTTACCCCCATATTTAATGTCACTTATGTTGTGTACTTAAGATCCAATACTCCTGTCTTGTTACTCTCCACTGGTAATATATGGTAATCAATCTGTTCTGTCATTTAGGTATGAGGATATGTTGGGAATGAAACATCCTCTGTGTGTGAGCTTGTCTGTATATTAAAATATCAGAGTTTAGAGTAACGTTAGAGCCTCTCTCCTGCTTTATAGAATATAGAGAAGCTTAAACTTAATGGTTCTTTTATTGTGTACAAATGAATTCTGCTGTTTGAAAATACAAACAATAAATCATAAATCTAAACTTTGTACTGTTTGTCTGTTATGTTACAAAGATATAACATCTGATTTTACATTTTTATCTGATGATACTGTCCAAAGATTATAAGCCTAATAAGCTTTACTTATAAGAGCAATGCTGCTTCTTTATCTGTGTGTCTTCTACATGGATCCTCAGCTGGTGAATGTGATAACTTCAGGCCTGGGATCTATACATTTTATTCTTTTTTGCATAGTTAAACAGTACTTTTATTATATTATGTAGTTAAGGCCCCATTTTATGATTCCCATTTTTATACAAATCAGGCAGAAAAATGAAAACTTAGCATTAGACAGAGTAGTAAGGAAGGTTTAAAATGTCTAAATTAAAACAAATCCAAAAAATAAAAAGAATACAATATGTATTTCCTTTATGTAATACTTACTGTATTTATTTCACAGTAAATACAGTAGTAGTAGGAGTTAGTAGTAATAAAGTATTTACTGTGTCATTAATAATAGAAGACGCATGATAAATGACAATTATTAAAATGTTTGTCTTTAATGACCAAATCAATAGCTTTTTCATTGTGAATTGAATTTCCATACCACATTAAAATCAAATCACAATACAGAAAACAAAGTAAAGAGGTGTATTGAATTCAGTATTGTCCAGCAGAGGGCAGCATAGCTCTACTTATATTGAATGCAAAGATGGCAAAATCAATGTCTCTGAGGTCGCTGACTGAAAGCTCACTTTATTCTACTTCTCTCTAAAGTCAAGGACTCGTTGTTTCAAAAGAGGTTGAAAAAGCCCGGATTTTCTCTTCAATCTATTCAAATTTACATTTTTGTCTCTTTCCAATTTTTTTTCAGTATAGTGATAGAAGCTGTCATGGAGACATTGATATATTGAGTTAGAGAAAGTCTCCTCGTTCCTGTTGTGTGTGTGTGTGTGTATGTTTGAGGTGAGGCTCCTGTCAGTGTAGGGATGTATCAGGCAGCAAGTGAACAATTGGTCCTCAGAGTTGATGTGTTAGAAGCAGGAAAAATGGGCAGCGTGAGGATCTGAGCAACTTTGACGAGGGCCACATTGTGGTGGACAACTGGGTTAGAGCATCTCCAAACCTGTAGCTCTTGTGGGGTATTCCCGGTCTGCAGAGGTTAGTACCTATCAAAGTGGTCCAAGGGAGGAAAAGAACCGGAGACAGGATCACTGATGTACGTGGGGAGTGAAGGCTGGCCCGTGTGGCCCGATCCAACAGACGAGCTACTGTACCTCAAAGTGCTGAAACAGAACACACAGTGCAGAGCAGTCTGTTGGTACGGGACCAGTCTGGGTCAGGGTGGTCATAATGTTATCTTATGTCTCTGGTATGAGCAATATATTTTAGATCTTTTTTATTCTATACTGGAAGATCTTTGCACTGTCACTGTTTACCTGCCTCATCCAAGTGCTCATATTACTACTTTACATATACAGATGGAGGAACTGCCTCTGCATATTTATATTTATATTGTTTATTTATCTTGATTTTATTATTAAGCAACTAAATAAAAAAGAAAAACTTTAAAAGATGAAACAGAAGTAGCTGAAGTAAGCTTGTAATCAGAATCAGAATCAGAAATACTTTAATAATCCCAGGGGAAAATTATTTAAGAGCTGCAGTACAACCACAAAATATTTCAATACAGTTTGTTGACAAGGTGTAGGTGGCAGACCTTCAGTCCCTGTACTGTAGGTCTTAATCCAACCTTGTATAGATGTCAGTAACACAGAATAAATCAAATTTATAATCAATTTGCATTAGTCTGGATATCAATCAATAAAGAAGTATTATATAACTGAAATACATCATAAACATTCTGACAAGACTTTTGTAGGCACAGGTAGGTAGCACTAATGTACTGTAATAAAACAATATAAAGAAATATTAAACATGTGAAACACTTGCCTGATGCAGCCGTGATGAGCAGGAGAAATACATCCATCTTTGTTGGCTCTCTGTTGATTCTGAGCTGTGACTTCAGACTTGCAGCAGTTGAAATATCTTATCAAGTTACACATGAACGAGCTTACAGTACTCCAGTATCATCTGGTTTCATGCAAATTGGTCGTAGGCAACAGTTATTTGCATATTAAGTAAATAATGCATATCATTTTTCATTTTCCCCTTTTTCAAACACATTTAATACCATCTTGTTTGAGTCATTTCAAGACAGTGACATATTACATATATATTATTAAGTTTCAATAATAGAAAATGTTTGGCATGAATATTGATCATATATTGAGTATTGATAATACTGAACAAATGTAACAATCTAAGAATCTGGAACTGGGAGCTTTCCATATGAACAAACAGTTTGTTTAATGTATATAAGAATATACAGTATAGTTTAGAGATATAGTCAGAGAAATCTGAACCAATCCATGTTAGATATTTAGCTGCAGACATGAAAACTTTGAGTGGGTGGTGAACGTAGAGGAAAAGTCAGATCATTACAAACAGGATACGAATTTCGATTATCAAAATTGTTGCATTTTCATTTTCTTTCCCTTAAATTAATTACATGTATTAACAGTTATGCTGAGAGCACTAAAAAGTAATTTTAAGAATGTGTTATTTGAGGGCAGAAATTACAACTTTTTACCCCTTGACAACTCATGGCCTCCTTCAGTGTGTGAGTGTCTGTTTAGAAGTCTTGGATGGTCACAGGGAGCTGCCGAGGAGCTGAAACATGGAACTTACTGAGAGTCTCCTCCGGCTTCATTGGCTGTCCCTCCTCCTCCTCCTCCTCCTCCTCCTCCTCTGTCTCTCCACATCTGACTCTGTCGTGACTGTCTGATTCCATCCCCTATTTAAATGTGTTTAAAGTTCAGTTTTTGCATACACACAGAACAGCCAGTCAGAAACAGATGTTATCAGTTTTGCAGATCTGGACGTACCTGAACCTGACCAACAGCTCATGATGGAACATTACCGTCCTGACACTGACAGAGAATTTGCATCTGTTTCTAAAAATACTCCAGGAAGTCACACTCATTTCAAGAAAATCTACACTGGGTATAAATTTATAAGATATTATATAGATATCGCTGGTCCAAAGAGCAGTTATAGCAGTAAATGCACTTCAGATTATAGCCTTCATGTAACACAAATTGTTCGGGCCCATCAGCACCACAAAGCAATGCACATAAACAGCTGCAAGATTGTCCCGTTTAAAGCTTGCTGCAAGTCCATGTGCCTGTCCACAGCACATTACAAATTGTAAAGATTGCTGTTCTTTGCATCATTACCATCTAGTGCCATGTCCTGATCCTTGAGATAACGTTATCTCCATAAATTCAATCATACTCCAGCAGCATCAGGCTGAAGTACACAGACTTCTTTGGTTTGTGTACACCAAACTGGTTGACTACAACTTTCTTCATCCAAAAACGGCCACTTCTTTATCCTCCCCTTTCTAACAGGTTTAAGTACAGCCCCTCAAGTGTGATGCTTTTGTTTCCAACAGAAGGCCCGTGGCTGATACAGTGAGGTATAGCAGGAACTTGGCTGTAATTGCCGTTTAAAACTTACTTAAGCACACCTTATCCGTTCACTCCCTCCTCGACTCAGTTACCATATCTCTCCCCCCGAACTCTTTCTTTCCTTTCCCCCCCGTCTCTCTTGTCCAAATTAGTGATGGGAATTCCGGCTCTTTTTAGAGAACCGGCTCCTTTGGCTCGGCTCACTAAAAAGAGCCGGCTCTTTCGGCTCCCAAGTGGCTCCTCATATTTTTTTGTTGCTTAAATTAATTTATTACCAAATTATGTGTAAAATGAATATCTAATGTAAATACATACATTATAACAAATGTTTAGTATTTATATGGATTTATTAATATACTCAACATGGAACAGAGTGCTACAAAAATAAATTATAAAACACAAAAATAAAGACCCATCTTAATTAGACAAAAAGCTGCTTGATATGAAATGTTTAACTTTGCACAGTGTACACTCTGCCTTTGAACTATGACATTAAAATGTTTCCAAACTTTACTACGTTTCCTGTCACTCATTTTCCTCACCCTTTCCAGTGTGTAGTCTCTGTCTATGTAGTGCCAAGGTCTCTCGCTCTCACGTCTCCCTCCCACCTGTTCACGTGCTTACTGTGCCGTGTGTGTCTGTAACCCCTCCCTCCCCCCTCCTGCTCAGTGTAGATACACAGATGCCACCACACATCTTGACCAATCACGCAGCTTTAACAGGGAAAAACGTGGAAATCCGGAAAAAAAATCCGGATCTGGCTCCCAATCAGGAGCCGGCTCCCGTTGTTCACTTCAAGGAACCACTGGGGCTCTCTACAAGAGTCTCACAACCCACTCGGTTCCCTCTTACCATCTCACCAAACCCCTCCGTCCATTCATCCATCCGCCAACAAACCCACCTTTCTTCCATCCGTTCATCCCTCAACTCTTCTTCCCCTCATCCCCCAACCCCTACCCCACACGTTCATTGGTGTGGTCTGTGTTAGTGGAATACTGTATGTATGAAGCTAAAGCATGAATGAATTTCCTGAAAACTTCTTCAGGGAATAAAATATTTGAACATGGCACATCATTTGGCGGTATGGTAACACCATGTTGGAGAATGTGTAGGTGGGGTGAGTGCACTTTTTGCTTGACCATTTTAACTCATACATGGACTCCATGCAAGATGCCAACCTGTTCATCAGGAACCAGGAACCCCTTCCATTACAGCATCATTGACTTGATTATTGATTTTTTTATCTTTTAATTTAGTAATTTAGAAATTGTTCTTTTTTGTTCAAACCGTCAATCTAATCTGACAATTAGTACATTTGGAACAACTGTGATGTAGGACTTGTTTTACTTGTGTATACAATACATTTTAGTATTCAGGAAAGGCACAGGGCATGGCTGCTTTCCATTCAGGTGCTCTAGTTCCAGCAAGCTCTTTGCAGGTTGTTCCTCATCAGACCAGCAGCTGTCACTGTACACCACAGTTTTTCAGCAGGTTTTTACCTTATAATATAATAATTATAATAATACATTTTATTTAAAGGCGCACCTCTGGCCACTCAAGGACACCGTACAACACATAAAAAATAAAAACAGTAAGAAATAAGAAACAGATAAGAAAAGGCAATGTAGATAGTTAAGTGGGGTATGCAGTTCTGAATAGGTGAGTTTTTAGTCTTGATTTGAAGAGGGGGAGAGAGTCCAGGTTGCTGATGTGCGGTGGGAGTGAGTTCCAGAGTCGGGGGGCAGACCAGCTGAAAGCCCTGCTCCCCATGGTGATAAGGCGGGCGGGAGGAACGAAGAGGTGGACAGAGAAGGCAAATCTGAGGGAACGGGAAGGGGTGGCGATGTGGAGTAGTTCGGACAGATAAGGAGGGGAAAGGTTGTGGATGGCCTTGAACGTAAACAGGAGGATTTTGAAGTTTATGCAGAGTTTGACCAGGAGCCAGTGGAGCTGCTGCAGATGTGATGGCATTATATATAGTGCTGTATTAAAGGCAGGCTACAGTAGTAGCATGTGGGTGTATTATCATCATTCACAAAATCTAATAGTTAAATCTAACATTATCATATATTTTTATTATTAAAAAAGAAAGTGTGTGTTCATGGTAATGAAGGATAATTTCACTCAGGGAAACCGTCATGGAGCTCTGTGGCACACGGTAAAGATACAGACAATAGTTGTACATGCGGTATATTCATTTTTGGTCTTTCCATAGATTTCCTGAGCAGAAGAGTAATTTGTCCCTTAAAGATGAGATAAGATAAGATGTTCCTTTATTGATCCCTCCTAGGAGAAATTCAAGCTTGGCACAGCAGCATAGGCAATGTAGTGCAAAAGAGAGTACAAAAGTGGAGGTACAACAAGATATCACAAAATAAATTCACAAAATAAAATAATACAGAATAGAAAATAAAAGACTATAAATTAACGTATATACACTATGCATATTCAAGGTATGTTGTCATTAGTGTATAATCACCTCATGATAAGCATTGTGTTTTTGTTACCTTGAATGAGACATTTTTATCTACAGAGGGAGCGGGTCCTCTTCTACGGATGGATGTATTAATGAGAACTGGATACAGCATCAGAGGCGGGGCTCATTCATTTCCATGAAAGATGCTACTAGCAGTCCACTCCACAGAGACCTCAGAGGTCTTGCAGGGTCATACAACTCAAGCACATTAGCTATGTATTCCATGTGAAGATGTATTATTAAGTAATAAAACTTACTGGCAACCAGCATTATACAGTATATTAAAATTTGATAGGCAAATAATTGTTGCCTTGCACAAATTTGCATTAAGTCAAAAAATACTGAAGCACTTTCAGCTTGATACACACACACACCTTTAGAATAAACAGAGAGCCAACAGAGATGGACATAGTTCTTCTGCTCATTATCACTGCATCAGGCAAGTATCTTATTTGTTTAAATATATTTATATTCTTTTATTACTCTACATTACCGTATCTACAAAGCGGTCATCATACTGTAAACACTATTATGATGTACGACAGTTACTGTATATAATACTTAACCAATGATTGAACATCATTGTGTTTCTCAGTATTTCTTGTTGCTGAACTGACTTTTAAAACCAAACACAAAGACCTTGGAGGGTAAATGTACGCAGACTCTGTGTTTTGCCACTTACACGCCTGCACTCATTTAGTCATAACAGTTATAATTTGAACTTCTATAAAATGTGTTGCCTCAGTTGTTCACTGGTTTGTGAATTGCCAATTACTCACTATTCAATGAAAACCTGTTGGGCATATTTTAATCTTTGTGAACTGGTTGACCTCAGTTGTTCCTCTTTATTGAGTGCGCCGCTAAAGCTCTTGGTTTCCCCCTTTTTCACCTTCTTGTGTTTTTTTCTCCCCTTCATCTGGGACCTTTCAACAACATTATGCACTTTTTTACCTTCTTTTATTTTTTTTTATTTGCACCCTTAGCGACATCTCGGTTACAACTTTAGAGACCTTGTGGTTGTCCTTTTTTTGAACTTCCTTGCACAGGGTGAGGCTTTGTGGTCACACTGATGCTGCTCTCAGTCAACCATTTTGGAGTTATGTGAGCATTACTATGTCAGCCATTTTACCTTGATCTGAAGAGAGACGGTCACAACCACAACAGAACTCATTTTATTTTCTTCAAGCAATACTCTTTAAATCATAATGACATATGATAGGTAACAGCATGGATAATGATTCACAGAGCAATGAAATAAATGAGTAAAAACAATAAATGCATAACAAGTAGAAATGAAATAAGGATAATAAAGGATTTATAAGAAGTAACCAGGCAAGCTGCTCTTGACCTCCTTTTATCAGCCAGAACATTAACACCATCGTGGTAATGTTCCTGTCGGTACTTTCTTATGGAGGAATCCTCCTTGTGTTTTTGTTTTTTTTCTATCATTGTAAGTGTGAACAACAATTGCATACAATTCTCTTCCTTCAACACCCTCTCTTGCATATAAAGGTGCCTTTATCAGTAACTGGTCACTGCCTAACAACCAACTACCCTGCAGCAGCCAGAGGGTCACTACGACTTGCTACTGTATTAATGTAAACAGTAAGCTAGTTAAGTCCAGTGGTTTGGGCCCCTCAAAAAGGTGTCCAGGTGAATCTGAGGGTTCGTAAGATGATTCGTGGCAGAGGAAAGAAGAAAAAACCAACATTCTGTTTTCAGTATTTGGATGTTTCACTAATCTCAGATAAATCTGTGAGACGTTTCAAAGAGAAATGTTTCGTTGATGGAACTGATAACAACTGTGTAATAGTGCAGTATAAAGTACAATATTTCAGTGTGAAATGTAGTTTAGTGGAACTATACAGTAGCATAAAAAAAAGAAATACTTGAGTACTGTATACTTACAGTTACATTCAAACTCAGATTTTTCTATAAAGACAATGACACACCTGAATATACTGAATTGTAGTGGTATATAAGTCATTTTTATCCTGAATCTAATCCATATGAATGTTTATCACTACAGGGCTGAGTGGTACCTCGTCACATGTTGGACGTCAGTACCATTTTATCTATGACCAGAAGACCATGACTGAAGCCCAGAGTTACTGCAGAGAACATTACACAGACCTGGCCACTATAGACAACATGGAGGACGTGAATATCCTGATTAACATGGCAGATTTTAGCCAAATGATCTACTTTAAAGCAACAAACTACGGTGAGTTGACTTTTCACAACCATTTTGTCTTTTTTTTCATATCAAAACATTTACAAAAGAGAATCTACTGACTTTTCCTTGACAAAACAGACTTGGTAGATTATTGGTTCTTCTGATATGTCTATCTTAATGACAAGTAGATGTTTTTTAAAGCATACATATTCTTGATTTCAGCCATTTTTATTAATTGTAGTCGTACATAGGTACGGTGACCCTGAGAGCTCAACCCACTGCAACTTAAAGGTTGTATATGTAACTTTGATTTAACCATTGTTAATGGTGACACCAGTGGCCGTTAAGTGAACTTCAGTTAGTGTCTGGTTGCTTGGTGCATGGTTTGTAGGGGCCAGTTAGCATCATCCTGTTCATTGGCCAAAAGTGACATACAATAGACTGAACACTGGAAAAGAAATTACAATCATATTTAACATCTGCCATGTGCCTATATTTTATTTGGGCCAGTGACTCCATGCTATTAATAAATACTATTAATTAGCTTTCCATTTACAAATCACCCCATCAGCCAACACCATGAAGCAACCAATGCCAGCCTGCCAACCCCAGCTTAGCTTAGCTACAATTACCTAGCTGGATGCCCCTGCTCGCATTGCTCTAGGCGAATGGTTAGCTTTGTACTGTTACATCATTTATTGTTGGCAAAAAAGAATTAGTTAGTATCATGGATGCTGTAAGCTGGTGAAGAAAGCAGGCAAGCTAAGATCAGCCAGCCAGCTGCAACCCATCCAAGCACAGTGAACAGTGTAATCTGGTGCCGGCCACCCCACAACACCAGTCGACAAAGTAACCTGAAAACCGCGAGCCAGCCAGGTCAGCCCTGGGAGTCTGGTGGAACCTAGCTGACACTACTTAACTAGCAATTTGTCCGCATTCGCAAGCAAGTTAACGTTAGTCAGCTAAAGCACAATATATTTAGCAGACTTTGCGGTAATGTTAGCTTTGACTTCTGACTTTGTGTGAGAGGCTTCTCCCAGCAGAACCAATGGGTGGAGTTAAACCTGATCCAGCTCATCCTCTAGTTCCAGCCCCACCCAAAGACTGACAAGGTTTGACAACATTGAAAACAGTACTGGTTGTTGTTGGGTGGGGCGATACAAAATAATTAATACATAAAAATAATATGTAAAATGTGATTTCAGTAACTTATTGTGTCTCGTCAAGTGTGTTAATTTTAGTCATGTTCATGTTTAGTGTTTCATGTTTAGTCCTTCCTGTTTTATTTTGTACTCACCTTTTCCCTCACAATTCAGACCCTGACTGCCTCCTTGTGTGATTTTCCCGCCTTTGTAATTGTCTGCCCCGCCCCTGAATGTTTTCACCTGTTTTCACTTACACATGGTATAAATAGTCCTCGTCTCCCTTTGTCTTTGTCAGTTCGTCTTGTTCAGATGGTAAAGAGTATTGTCAAGTGTTTCAGCCCAGTGTTCAGGTTAGTTCATGTTTCGATTGAAGTTTTTGTTGCTTTGTTTTGCACTTTGTTACCCTCCTTCAGAGCGCCTTTGGTTTGATAAATAAATATCATTTTTTCTTCGTCTTTTCTACATCTTCGTCTGTCCCAGAGTCGTGCATTTGAGTCCACTAACATTGTGTCAGAGGTCGTGACATAACTTCACATATGTACTATGTTGGTCGATATTGAAAATAATGAAAATGAGTAAACCGATTGTATGATTTAGATATGATTGCAGATATTTACAATTCAAATAAAAGTACATAATATCTGAATGATGCAATCAGAAAGTTAAAACTAAACATTGCTCATTTCCACTAACTGAATTGATCTGTTTTGTACTCTGTGTGATTTGCAGTGTTTATGGCTTTTTATTTGTCTAAATGCTGTGCATGTGTTTTCCTAAATTGGTGAAGATATTTTCTTTACTTGTATTTCTTTCGTGTATTTACATATGTTTCCTTTAGTTACTGTGCATTGAGCCCTCAGGGCACTGCACAAAAGTTATCGGTAAAACTACTGGTAGAGGATCAGATTCATACTTGCTATATGCAAAGATTTTGTTGAGCAGCTTTAAGTTTAGCCAGGTCATTTCAAGGCTAATAAATGTTTTATATGAGAATTGAAGTTATTCTGTTATGCTGTTGCTTTCAGGCAGCCTGGATTGGGCTGTATGACGCCAGGAACAGCTGGAGGTGGTCACTGGCAGATCAAATGTTCTATGAAGACGGGGAGGCAGAGTTCAGGAACTGGGAGGTTAGGCAACCAGACAACTACAGAAGTGCAGAATATTGTGTTGCCATATATGATAATGGACGTTGGCACGATGTGAGCTGCACACGCACCATCCAATCAGTCTGCTTTGATGTCAGCGGTGAGCATCCTTACTACAGATCATTTATAACACTAATTCCAATACATATTCATTAAAAAAGACAGGTGAGTGAAGTTTTTTTCCTTTGCTCTGGTTCCTTTGAGTTTGTGTTCAGACACGGTGGCTGTGGGTCTTCATATTAACTACACACTTTTTCTTCTACAGAGAATGATGAACAATATTGTTTATGTGCAAATATCACCATCATAATTTAATTTAAATCCTCAGAAAAAGCATTGGAGGAGAACTCTTGATTACAATAGTGCCGAGGTACAAACATAAAAAAATTAGGGTAGCAATAAAGACGAATACATGGCTAAAATAAGGTAAAAATATGCAAAGTTAAATGGTAGAGGTGCTGGAATTTACAAAGAGTATAGACAATAACGTTAATGTGTGTGTGTATATGTGTGTGTATATACTGTACACTGTGTGTTTATGTGTGTGTGTGTGTGTGTGTGTGTGTGTGTGTGTGTGTGTGTGTGTGTTCTTTATTTCCAGGACCCAATGTGACATTTGTCCTCAACAACAATTCCATGACATGGACTGAGGCCCAGAGCTACTGCAGAGAACACCACACAGACCTGGCCAGTGTGAGGAACATGGCAGAGAACCAGAAGGTGAAGGAGCTGGTGGCTTTAGGACAAAACGTCTGGATCGGCCTTTACAGGGACTCCTGGAAGTGGTCAGATGGAAGTAACTCCTCATTTAGGTACTGGAGACCAACGGAACCTAATAACAATGGAGGGAAGGAGATTTGTGTGACAACAGTCTTAAGCTCCTCTGGACAATGGGAGGACTGGCCCTGTCACTGGAGGAAAGAATTCATTTGCTACAGTCAACGTGAGTGGTAACCCCTAATTAAAATAGTATTTGGATTAAGATTGAAATTAACATGTCCCAAATGTGAGGAAATTTGGTAAAACCTGTCCCGAGGTCACCAGCTACAATAAATTACCATCCTCTTTGATATTGGATGTGTGATGGAGCCAAGTCTGTAAAGATGAAAGCACAACAGTCTCTGATTTCCTGCTGCTGGGTTAGCCTGACTCATTTAACTTTCCTGCTGGAAAGGCGGAGCATAAGTGGTGGAGGAGCTGTAGGTCCAAGCTGGGTTACCTTAACTCTTATCCCGCTTGAGTTCCCAGGGCGGTCACATCACTTGCCTGGTGTTTGGTTCAGCTGGTCTGGCTGGGTGGTTGGAAGATCATCTCAAGATCCACTACACTTAATCCAATCCCTGCGCTTCCTTTTCCTGTTTTCCTGTCATAGGTTGTATGTGCTTTGCTAATAAAGAAAAAATATATACATAGCAAAGTTTGAGGTAGCTACTGGCTACCTCATGTATCTATATGTCTATAACAAACTATATATTGATTTATTTGACTTTTAATTCATTTGTATTTCAATATTTCTATATACAGTATGTTCCCTGTGTGTAGCAAGAAGGAGAAACAACTTACATTTCATTGCGCGAGCCTGTGTTGTAAAATGACAATTAACCTTGATACCTTGAAAGTTATAGCATGCAGTGGGGGTCAACTGCACAAGATTTGTTTCTTTAATGCTGAAAATATGCAACAGTACTGCCACATATCGCCTGTCAGTCTCTTTAAAGATGAAATTCTGAGGAATGCCAGTATTACATTAACAGATGTGTTTCGCCCACAGCTTTGACAAAGCAAGTGATAAAACTGAGTCTGCAGAAAAGTAACCCCTCTCTGGATCTCAGTGACCCTGCTGTGATGGAAGGAATCTTGAAGCAGGTAAATCCTGTTTGACCTTTCAACTTTTATGCAAGAACAGAACAACCAAATGACTCCAAAAAGCAAATGAAATTAAATACTGTACGGATCCCTAGAGGTGAAATTCACGTTACAGCAATACAAGAAACAGCCTGAAGAGGTCAGAAACAGAAACAGAGTTATATGAAATAGCAAATACAGCAAAAGTAGGTGGGTCGTCCACTAATAAGAAAGTTGGTGGTTTGATCTGAGCTTCACAGCGGCTCTTTAGGAACCTCTGGGTGACGTCACAGATGGACAGACATCCACTCTTAATTACAGTATATGGTAAAAACACATTATGATGTTCAATGTGTTATTTCAACACTCAGCAGAAACTTGACTATCTGCCAAATACGATCTACAAAGCCAGATTACAAGCATTACAATAGAAGAAATAGGGAGAAGAAAGTTCAGGTCAACAGGTTGAAGGAACATATGACTAACAATGCAGAATGTAATATCTCTGTGTGAGTGATAATGTTGAGGAGTTCTGTGTCTCAGATCAAACAGAGGCTGAAGGACCAGGGGGTGAATGAAGACATCAAACTGAGCTGGAGGAAGCAGTCAGATGGAAAGATCTTCCACAAGGACGAGAAGGAGACAGAGAAGAAGGACACCTGTACATAAAAGGAGGAGCTTTATGTAATGGGTCAGAATATACCTGCACCAGTGCCACAACAGCTGCAGTCCAAATAGAATTGCTGTATTAATTATTTAGGATCGAAATCCAGGCTTCACGATAGGTTCACACTTGATTATGACTCAGGGTCTTAATACCCCCCTTAGAGCTCATAAAGTAATAAAAACATAACTATGAATATCATACTTCTGCCAACAGACCCACCTAAATGTTACACACTGGACCTTTAAGTTACGTTATGTCACATAACACAACTTGCGTAATTTTTGTCACAAGGTTTAACCCAAACAGTAGTATTTTTGCTGACTTCCATTGTTTTCACAATGTTACCCCCATATTTAATGTCACTTATGTTGTGTACTTAAGATCCAATACTCCTGTCTTGTATCTCTCCACTGGTAATATATGGTAATCAATCTGTTCTGTCATTTAGGTATGAGGATATGTTGGGAATGAAACATCCTCTGTGTGTGAGCTTGTCTGTATATTAAAATATCAGAGTTTAGAGTAACGTTAGAGCCTCTGTCCTGCTTTATAGAATATAGAGAAGCTTAAACTTAATGGTTCTTTTATTGTGTACAAATGAATTCTGCTGTTTGAAAATACAAACAATAAATCATAAATCTAAACTTTGTACTGTTTGTCTGTTATGTTACATCTGATTTTACATTTTTATCTGATGATACTGTCCAAAGATTATAAGCCTAATAAGCTTTACTTATAAGAGCAATGCTGCTTCTTTATCTGTGTGTCTTCTACATGGATCCTCAGCTGGTGAATGTGATAACTTCAGGCCTGGGATCTGTACATTTTATTCCTTTTTTGCATAGTTAAACAGTACTTTCATTATATTATGTAGTTAAGGCCCCATTTTATGATTCCCATTTTTATGCAAATCAGGCAGAAAAATGAAAACTTAGCATTAGACAGAGTAGTAAGGAAGGTTTAAAATGTCTAAATTAAAACAAATCCAAAAAATAAAGAGAATACAATATGTATTTCCTTTATGTAATACTTACTGTATTTATGTCACAGTAAATACAGTAGTAGTAGTAGTTAGTAGTAATAGAGTATTTACTGTGTCATTAATAATAGAAGATGCATGATAAATGACAATTATTAAAATGTTTGTCTTTAATGACCAAATCAATAGCTTTTTCATTGTGAATTGAATTTCCATACCACATTAAAATCAAATCACAATACAGAAAACAAAGTAAAGAGGTGTATTTAATTCAGTATTGTCCAGCAGAGGGCAGCATAGCTCTACTTATATTGAATGCAAAGATGGCAAAATCAATGTCTCTGAGGTTGCTGACTGAAAGCTCACTTTATTCTACTTCTCTCTAAAGTCAAGGACTCGTTGTTTCAAAAGAGGTTGAAAAAGCCCGGATTTTCTCTTCAATCTATTCAAATTTTACATTTTTGTCTCTTTCCAATTTTTTTTCAGTATAGTGGTAGAAGCTGTCATGGAGATATTGATATATTGAGTTAGAGAAAGTCTCCTCGTTCCTGTTGTGTGTGTATGTTTGAGGTGAGGCTCCTGTCATTGTAGGGATGTATCAGGCAGCAAGTGAAAAATTGGTCCCCAGAGTTGATGTGTTAGAAGCAGGAAAAATGGGTAGCGTGAGGATCCCTCACCACAAACCACCCCCAAGGTTTTTATTTTGTGTGTTTTTTAAGTGCCTCTTTAATAATTAAAGGGTACAGTAGTTGTTAGGGTAACCTAACAGAGAAAGTGGGGTAAGAGTGCCAATACTGCAATGAAATTAGTAATGATGTCATATATTTTAAAATTGTGATATACTTATATAAATATAAAACTGAGGGAATTAGCTACATTGTAAAAGGTTTCTGGAATATGGAGTACTTATCATTATTGAGTTAGGGTTTTATTTTAACTTGTGTGCTGGGATTCATTCAAATCCAGTTTGATTACACAGATATTGCATCCATTTAAACAAGTCTCATGAAAAACAGTGGAAATGGTGACATCTGCTGGCAGAAAACAGCTCCAGCAGTAGCTGAGGAGTTAGATCCTCCGTAGATCAACAACACTAGACAACAAAGAAAGGACTATAGGAAGGCCTAGGGAAATTGGAAAAAGTACAAACTTGAAGTCCACCACCTCCACATGAGGGAACTACTGTTTAATTTGAACCAGACTATTAAAGATGCATGAGCTGCCTACTTTTCTGACCTCATTGTTAGCAATAAACATAACCCAAAGTTTTTGTTTACTTCTATTAACTAGCCTGTAACTCCATCCATGCCTCCCTGTCTTAGGTCCTAGCCTGCTTTCTATCATCAATTCCTCTCTCATGTCAGGGTCTGTACCTGACCTTTTTAAGTCTGCAGAGGTCAGTACCTATCAAAAGTGGTCCAAGGAAGGAAAAGAACCAGAGACAGGGTCATGGGGGGCCGAGGCTCATTGATGCAGGTAGGGAGTGAAGGCTGGCCCGTGTGGTCCGATTCAACAGACGAGCTACTGTAGCTCAAACTGCTGAAACAGTTAATGCTGGTTCTGATAGAAAGGGGTCAGAACACACAGTGCAGAGCAGGCTGTTGGTTCGGGACCAGTCCGTGTCAGGGTGGTCATAATGATATCTTATGTCTCTTGTGGTGTCCAGAAAACGATGTGGGCTTCATAGATAACTGGAAGCCTTTTTGGGGAAAACCTGGTCTGATTAGGAGAGACGGCATCCATCCCACTTTGGATGAGAGCTGCTGTCTTACACACTTCTCTGCAGTTCTTTAGAACAGTCACCCACCCAAAACCCCATAGAGACTGTGTCGTGTTTTTATCAAGTTTAGTCCTTAAATCAGATAAAGTAATTATTGTAGGTGATTTTAATATTCATGTGGATGTTAACAATGACAGCCTTAGTAACGCATTTATATCATTAATAGACTCAATTGGCTTCTGTCAGAGTGTAAATAAACCAACTCATTGTTTTAATCACACTCTTGACCTTGTTCTATCATATGGCATTGATATTGAACATTTAATAGTCTTCCCACATAATCCTTTCCTATCTGACCATTATTTAATAACTTTTGAATTCATACTATTAGATTATAAGCCATTAGGCAAAACTTCCTACAGCAGATGTCTATCTGACAGTGCTGTAGCTAAATTTAAGGAGGAGATTCCTTCAGTGTTTAATTCAATGCCATGTCTGAATTTAACAGACTCCTATAACGACTTTAGTCCCTCTGAAATTGATAATCTTGTCGATAGTGCTACAGGCTCACTACGATCAACATTAGACTCTATCGCTCCTATAAAAAGGAAATTATTAAAACATAGGAGACTAGCACCGTGGTACAACCACCAAACCCGCAAGTTAAAACAAAAAGCTAGGAAATCTGAAAGGAAATGGCACTCTTCCAAATTATCAGAATATCGCTCAATTTGGCAAGATAATCTTAAAACCTATAGAAAGGCCCTCCGTAACGCCAGAGGAGCATATTATTCAGCACTATTAGAAGAAAATAAGAATAACCCTAGGTTCCTCTTCAGCACTGTAGCCAGTCTGACAGAGAGCCACAGCTCTATTGAGCCACATATCCCCATAAACTTAAGTAGCAACAACTTTATGAGCTTCTTTTATAATAAAATTATTACTATTAGAGAGAAAAGTAATCACAAACTGCCATCAACAGTTATCAGTGGCTCTCCAAGTTCAGGAACTTTAACTAATGTAAACTTAGACATATATTTAGACTGTTTTTCTGCTATCGATCTTCATCAGTTAACTTCAATCATTTCTACATCGAAGCCATCAACCTCTCTGTTGGACCCGATCCTTAATTGGCACTTCTTTACTGGATATGATTAATCTGTCTTTATTATCAGGATATGTACCACAGTCCTTTAAAGTAGCTGTAATTAAACCCCTTCTTAAAAAGCTCACTCTTGACTCCGGGGTTTTAGGCAATTATAGACCGAACTCTAACCTCCCCTTCCTCTCTAAGATTCTGGAGAAAGTAGTCTGCAAAGAGTTGTGTGACTTTTTACATAACAATAGTTTATTTGAGGATTCAGGATTTAGAGTTCATCACAGCACAGAGACAGCTCTGGTTAAAGTTAATAATGACCTTTTGATTGCTTCTGACAATGGACTTGTCTCTGTACTTGTATTATTAGATCTTAGTGCTGCATTTGACACCACTGACCATAATATTCTTTTACAGAGACTTGAGCATCAAATTGGCATTAAAGGAACCGCACTAAGCTGGTTTAAGTCATATTTATCAGATCGCTCGCAGTTTGTACATGTTAACGATGAATCTTCAATAAATACTACAGTTAGTCATGGAGTTCCACAAGGTTCTGTACTTGGACCAATACTATTTACTTTATATATGCTCCCTTTAGGCAACATTATTAGGAATCACTCCATTAACTTTCACTGTTATGCAGATGATACGCAGTTATATCTATCAATCAAACCCAATGAAATTAATCAATTATCTAAATTATAAACATGTCTTACGGACATAAAATCCTGGATGACCTGCAATTTTCTGATGTTAAACTCAGAAAAAAACGAAATTCTTGTTCTTGGCCCCAAAAACCTTAGAGACTCATTGTCTAAAGATATAGTCACTCTAGATGGCATTACCTTGGCCTCTAGCACCACTGTCAGGAATCTTGGAGTTATCTTTGATCAGGATTTGTCTTTTAACTCCCACATAAAGCAGACCTCTAGGACCGCCTTCTTTCATTTACGTTATATTACAAGAATTAGACACATCCTATCACAGACAGATGCAGAAAAACTAATCCATGCATTTGTTACTTCTAGGCTGGATTACTGCAACTCTTTATTATCACGTTGCCCCAATAAGTCCATTAAAACGCTCCAATTAATTCAGAACGCTGCAGCACGAGTACTGACAGGAACTAGAAAAAGAGATCCATCACTCCTGCACTAGCTTCTCTGCATTGGCTCCCTGTAAAATGTAGAACAGAATTTAAAATCCTCCTCCTCACCTATAAAGCTCTTCATGGTCAGGCCCCTTCATATCTTAAAGAGCTCATAGTACCCTATTACCCCTCTAGAACACTACGTTCTCGGAATGCTGGGCTACTTGTGGTTCCTATAGTCTCTAAAAGTAGAACAGGAGCCAGAGTCTTCAGTTACCAAGCTCCTCCCCTGTGGAACCAGCTTCCAGTTGTGGTTCGGGAGGCAGACACCCTCTCCACATTTAAGAGTAGGCTTAAGACATTCCTCTTTGATAAAGCTTATAGTTAGGGCAGGATCAGGTGAGTCCTGAACCATCCCTTAGTTATGCTGCTATAGGCCTAGACTATCGGGGGATTTCCCATGGTGCACTGAGCTCCTCTCTTCCTCTCTCTTTCTGCACTCATTCATGTCCCATTAATGCATGTTACTAACTTCACTTCTTCCCCGGAGTTCTTGTGCTTTCTCCTCTCACAGGTTCTTATCGAACCTGGTGGAGCCTCCTGCCATGGTCCTGCTAGATTGCCATTGCCAATACTGTTGTTGCTGTGCACCTGTCTGTCTGTCTGTGTCTCTCTCTCTCTCTCTCTCTCTCTCTCTCTCTCTCTCTCTCTCTCTCTCTCTCACCCCAACTGGTCGAGACAGACGACCACCCACCT